TTTCATATTAAAATCATCAGTTAAAAAGCCAATCCAAATTGGTACAAAAAGAAAAATGATATTCCCTTCTATAAATTATTAAATGGTCCTTGAACATCTACAACTCGACAGTCTACTTCAATCACTTTATAATATATTATGGCGTATTTACTTTTGTGAGTTCACTTTTTTTCAACGGGAGAGCTTGGATTTAAACTGGCAAGAGTCAGTGGTCTAAGTACTATCTAATAATTTTTCTTATTTACTTTTAAGTTTTTGTACTCTTAAAATTATAAATAATATTTTTTAAGAAAAAGAAAAAGAACAAACATATTAATCTTTTATAACCCTCGTATTACACTATTATCCGCACTAAAAATATAAATGTCATTGTCTATTAAAAGATAAAGACCTTATAGTTAAACTTGGATATTTCTTTTTTATAATAATCTTTTGGTTTGACGAAAATGGAGTATAGATAGAGGTTTTGAATTACCTTTTGATTCTGTGGATTTTGAGCTAATTTGGGTTGGCCCAATCCATCTAGAGAAAAGGTCTATGGGCTGTAAATTTTGTTATATATGGGCTTGGACTAGATCTAGTTTGGTCTAGAAACAGATCAATGGAGGCCTTACCAACCCAACAAGTAACATATATTACGTTGTGATTGGGTCTGGTATATTTTGTTCTATATGGGCTTGGACTAGATCTAAATCGCTCTGGAACCAGTTCAATGGGTTGGAATTGGGTTTGGTAAATTTTGTTCTATATGGACTTGGAATATATCTAAATTGGTCTGGAAACAGTTCAATGGGTTGGGATTGGGTCGGGTAAGTTTTGTTCAATATGGGCTTGGACTAGATCTATATTGGTCTGGAAACAGTTCAATGGGTTGGAATTGGGTTTGGTAAATTTTGTTCTATATGGACTTGGAATATATCTAAATTGGTCTGGAAACAGTTCAATGGGTTGGGATTGGGTCGGGTAAGTTTTGTTCAATATGGGCTTGGACTAGATCTATATTGGTCTGGAAACAGTTCAATGGGTTGGGATTGGGTCTGGAAAGTTTTGTTCAATATGGGCTTGGACTAGATCTATATTGGTCTGGAAACAGTTCAGTGGGTTGGGATTGGGTCTGGTAAGTTTTGTTCTATATGGGCTTGGACTAGATGATCTATATGTTGGTCCGGAAAGAAACCCAATGTATATTCAAACTAACCTTGCTGATACCGACGTATCGGTCGGTTCGTAACTCTTTTTCAAAGGTCCGATATCATTATATGAGTCGACTGATTCGGCCGATTTACACCAATATTCACTCGAGTTAGTTACACTGCGACCGTGATCGATACCGCAACTGCGAACCATGATCACTACCGGTTAGTTGGATTCCTAAGAAGAATTGTTGTGATTTGATCTCTCACAATGCACTAACTTAAATTTATAATTGAAACAACAATAATATTTTATATAAGTTTCTCTATTTTCAATTTGAAACCCTTAAATTCAAATTGTAGGAATAATCTTCTATAATTTTTATGTCTCAATGTTCCATTCATCTTTCAAATTCTCTTTATTTCATCCAAGATTCACAATTTGATAAAAATGAAGAAATCCAAAAAAATAAAAATAAAAATAAAAATAAAAATAAAACCCGATGGCTTAACAAATCTATGTAGATGTAACAAATCGCAAACTTGGCAAAGATACTAATAAGTTTATGAGAATCTTAACTGATGGTGTTTGTGAGAATATATACAAATAGAAAGAGAAACGGTCACGTTTGTATTTATTATCCTATCCAAATAGAGCATAATAATAAGTTATTAGTTATTACATGGTTTTGGGCACTATTGAACGTGTAAGCAATTGCATTATGGAGTATTTAAAAACTTAATAGTGTTGATAAAACTAAATTTTTAAAAGTTGAAATATTAAGTGCTATTTGTAAAAAGGGCTTTTATTTTTACTTGTTTAAAATTTAATTTTCAGTGATTTTAAGAGTAGATTATTCTTTTAATACCTCAAAATTCAGGTTATTGTAATTAATTGCTAATAAACACATTACATATATGTGTGTGTATAGATATATATATATATATATATATTTGTTTAGGCACTTACTTTTCCCAATATAAGTAGCACGATTGCTATGACATTTCACCATCATATGACTATTACTACTAACCTTTGTTTGGTTCAATCTTATTATGGTTGAGCTAAATTTGATTTGTCAACTTTTATTTTTGGTTCCATATATAATAATTGAACCTAAATTTTATTTGTTAATCATATTAATTAGTTCAGTTTGTCCACTGTTTTAATGAGAATCCTGCATGTATTTTGTTTGTATTTGGTCGACAAATTTTAAAAAACGTGCGAATTAATTTGGATTACAAACTTTATTGACTTATAAATCGACTTAACTTGATAATTAATTATAGTATTATGCTTAATCCATCTCCAAAACCGATTAATATATATATATATATTTTAAGTGTTCACCAAAAAATATAGAAGCAAGGTGATTAGTAACATGGTTGATGGTACACAAGATCAATGTATGGTACCATATTGTAAAACTTTGAATCATTAAATAAATAAGTAAATTTTATAGTTGGACATTTTCACGAAATTCTCACCTAACAATACACACAATAGGTGTGGTGATAATGTTAGATCATGTGTTTTGGCGCACACAATATATATATATTTTTTTAAAAATCCATCCATTCTATTTATTTTCTTATATAAAAAAATCGGAGAATGGTTTTTTCAACATGGAAAAACAATAAGTTGACTTATTAACATTACAAGAAATATTTAATAGTCAATTATAATTAAGATGATATTAGACATGGTTCATAATGAATTTATGAATATGCCTATAAAGTGTGATGCACCAACTCAACAAATTAATTCGCAGATTTTCAAAATCGGCTTATGAATCCATAAAAAGATGCAGGTATCTGAATCAATAAACATTCAATATTATTATTTTTAAGAAAATAATTCTTGCACAGAATAGCTATAGTGAATTACTAGATCTACTTTTTTAATTGGTCAGTTATGCAACAAATAAGGATGTGGAGCCCTCTACTTAGTTGTATTTGGTATAAATATCCAATTAAAAATTAGTCGGTTAAAAATAAGAGCAGTGATACTAAAACCGAACGCATGCAGTGAATTCTCTAACCGAATAATTTTTAATGAGTAGTGATACTCACACCCTAACCGAATAATTTTTAATTGGCTATTTATACAAAATACAATTAAGTGGAATGTTTTATTTTCTTATTTGTTGTATAATTGACCAATTAAAATAGTAGGTCTAATAATTCACTACAAGTATTCGGTACAAGAATCATTTTTCATTTATAATTGGCTATTTATACCAAATACAACTAAGTGGAGGGTTCCACTTCCTTATTTGATGCATAATTGACCAATTACAAGAGTATGTTTAGTAATTTACTGCAATTATTCGGTACAAGAATCATTTCCCAAAATATTAATTCAGGTATTATATTGTCTGTGCCGTCGGCACCAAAAGGAGGAGAAATTATTCATTATTTAGAAGTATTAATTTTGTAGTATTAAAATCAAGGGTAAAAATGGAAAAATTACCTTAAACTATTGTCTGCAAATAATATATGTGAACTAAAAATTACCCCATTGAAGATAAACTCATCCCAAAAGACTATTTCCCATTAAATTTGTCCTTTCTTATTAAATTATTTTTATTATATTTTCTCTTATCTAAATATTAATTATACTATTTACCTTAATTTTATTATTAGTATCAATTATTAATAAAAATGAAAAAATAAATAGATTTGTAAGTACCATTTTTTAAAATGATTAACTTATTATTAAAATTTTATTATTTATAATAAAACTTATTATACCCAGTTAGAAAAATACCTTCTTTTTTCATACAATATATTGACAAAAAATTAACAAATTACTTAAATAAAAAATATTTTCTTTTTCATGTAATATATTCATGAAAAATTAAGAAATTAATTAAATTGTTTTAAAATTTTATACTTAAGATTATTATTTAAACAATTAATTCAAAAAATTGAACGCAAATTTATACAAATTTAATGGAGAATATATCATCAAATTATTATGATTCTTTTTTTTTTCATAATTTATTTGAATAAGAAAAATAGATTAAGTGTAATTTAATAATAAATTGTATTATGATCATTTAATGAAATATAGTCCAGACATTTGGATATTTTGTAACAAAATGTGACAATTATATTATGCACAAAATATAATTTGTGGAGATTATTTACAAATTTAAACATAATTCAGAAATATTTTTACACTTTAGCCTAAGAATACTCAATTATTATATATATATATTTGCGGAATACTACATCCTCGGCGTGCACGGAGTAATTTACGAGTAGGTCGGTAGACTTGGAGGACCAGCTAAAGCTCGTGAAGCCCACCAAATGTTGAAAACCATAGTTTTTATAGGAGTAACTTATACGGTCGTGAAACCCACCAAATGTTGAAAACCATAGTTTTTATAGGAGTAATTTATACGGTCGTGAAGCCCACCAAATGTTGAAAACCATAGTTTCTAGGAGTAATTTATACGGAGAATATATATATATATATATATATATATATATATATATAAAATATAACATTAAGACAAAATAACCCATGGCCAATAAGAAACGTTGAAACAAAACCCTTGACCAATAAAAGACGTAAAAATAAAAAGTAGTGAAAGTTGTCTCACAAAGTCGCATGCTCCCTCTTGACGCCTTGCAAAACGTTAAAACGGAATATTGTTCGTCTTACACCGTCATGGGCCATTATGCAAAATTGAGTCATTAATGCACAAAAATTAGTAGATTATTTTCCATTTTAGCACCAAAAGCAAATTTTAATTATTTTACTTTTCAGACCAAAAGTTCAGTTATTTTTCTCAAGAGGGTCACATACATACTCTTAATTGTACATACACTCTCGAATCCCCCCCCCCCCCCCCCCCCCCTCTCTCTCTCTCTCTATTCTGTGCTTTGCCTTTTGCTACCGTGCATTGCTTAAAGGCTAGGGTTCGTCGGGATCGAAGTTATCTGAAGACTTCTGGTGAAGTTTGTGGAACATTGCTAAATTAGGGTTCGTACAAGTTACAGTGAATTTGTTCTCATCAAGATTTGATTTTTGCTGTTTCGGTTTTGGATTTTTCATCTCAGTTTATGTTGTTGCATTGTGACAGTTTTGGTTGATTTATAATAGCTGATTTATTTGGTAGCCCATTTTTACTCTACAGTAGTGTGTTAATCTGAGTACATTTGGTGAATGCTGATCTCTCTACTGGGAGATTGAATTTGGGTCTGATATTTGTGATGCTTGTGACAAATGGGTTGTAGATATATTTGTTTTATGTAAAGAATTGAAGTTAATTGTGTAAGCTTTTAGAGGATGAAGAGGTTCAGAAGTGAACCTCTTAGCTTGAAGAGGTTAAAACTGTCGCATTTCTTGTTGGGTATAGCTGCATTGTACTTGATTTTTATCTCCGTCAAGTTCCCACATTTCTTGGAGATTGCGGCGGTGTTGAGTGATGATGATACTTATTTGGGTTCGGAAGGATCATCAGTTGGGGATGGAGAAGATGGAGATTTAAGCAAACCTTTTGTCAGTTCTGTTTATAGGGATACATTTCATAGGAGATTAGAAGATAAAGAAATCCAAAATGCGCCATTGAGGCCACAAAAGGAACCTTTAGGCGATGAAAAAACAGAGGCACGGCAAATAAAGCCTCTCCAGCATCGTTATGGTCGAATTACTGGTGCCATTATGAGGCGAAGAAATAGGACTAGTGATTTGTCAGTGTTGGAGAAAATGGCGGATGAGGCTTGGACATTAGGCTTGAAGGCATGGGAAGAAGTAGAAAAATTTGATGGAAAAGAGACTAGCCCGGGTTCTATACTTGAGGGGAAGCCCGAGTCATGCCCTTCATGGGTATCTATGAGTGGGGAAGAATTGGCAAGGAGAGACAGTGTCATGTTCCTTCCTTGTGGTCTTGCTGCGGGCTCTTCCATTACAGTGGTGGGTACGCCCCATTATGCTCATCAGGAGTTTGTACCCCAGCTTGCTAGAATGCGCAGTGGTGATACCTTGGTTAGGGTTTCACAATTTATGATTGAATTGCAAGGATTAAATTCTGTAGTTGGGGAGGATCCACCGAAGATTCTGCATCTGAATCCTCGATTAAGAGGGGATTGGAGCCGTCGGCCAGTCATTGAGCACAATACCTGCTATAGGATGCAATGGGGGACAGCTCAAAGATGTGATGGTTTAGCATCCAAGAACGATGATGACATGCTTGGTAAGGGTTTACTTTTTTTTTTTTGATTTATCCTTTATTTTCATATCCATTTCCCCTTCCACCTCCTCCTTTACTCTTCTTTTGGCACTAAGATTTGCCTTATGTATAATAATGTGAGGCGTGGGTTATGTAGGATCGGTTTATCAACCACTTGATTAATTTTGAACAGAATTAAAATTTTCTGTTAAAGCTTTAACTTCTAGAATTGGAGCATTGTTGCCTTGGTACTATTATTACAAGGAAATTGCAAAAGAGCATAGAAACTTCTATACTTATATACAGTTTATAATAAAGACATCATTGTGGTTTTGATAGACATTTGGCTAATAGTTCTAAACTTTGTGGTTATATTATGTATCCCTATTTCAGAAATGATAAGTATTCTTTAGATTTAAAATTTTGTTGAACTTGGTTCTGAGTGTTTACTGAGGTTTAATTTCCTAAGTTAACTTATGTGTATGCTTTACTGTATGGACTTTCTATGAACCGACCAGCAATATTTTAGAGAAATGGAAATAGAGAGAGAAAAAAATATGAAGCATAACTTTTTAGAAACTGATGTGTTCTCCAAGAGTCTCAAATTTTTCCTTACATGTCAAAATGTTAGAAGCTAAGTTTGCTGACTGTTTGTTTGGCCCACATTTGTGTTACTTTTAAAATTGGACATTGTGTGTGAGGTTTTGAGCTTTTATTGTATCTTAACTGAGGAGTGTTCTTTTCTTCTTCTTATTGCTTTAAATTTTCAGGTTAACGGCTTTGTCATTTCTCCTGTGTCTGTGGCTTTTCAAATGCTTGAAATTGCTGATAAATTTAGGTTTAGTATGCTTCTTTCACGCGTGAATGATTGAATATTAGGATTATGTCTCTGTGCCAGTCTAGCTGTTCTGATTGCATGCTTGCATCACTGCATTAAATGACAAGGCTTAAAGGGGTATGTCTTGCCTCTGTCACATGAAGGTCTTGAAGTCTATTGATGTGGTAATATCCCAAATATTCATGTGACTCCTTTTTCCTTTTATCCTTTCATCCAGATAGCTTGTGCCCATTGCAATTCTGTTACAGACTTGAAACTTGTTGTTCAAGCTCCTCGTCCAACCTTAATTTATATATGTTTTTCTTGCTTATAGATGCTGTTGCTTTTGCTGAATGGTGCTGACCATTTTATTTTTGTCCTATGTTCATGTTCTTTCTGAAGGATGTTGCACTGTTAGACACTCCTTAGAAACTCTAACTCTTTTTCTATCATGTAAATGTTAGTCTGCATTTCTAGTAGCTCATATCTTCCTTTTTTTTCTTTCCATCCTTCTCAGTCCTGCTCCATGGCTTTCGAGTTTTACCATATTCCTAATTTATGTTGTATTTGGCAGTTGATGGATATTTGAGATGTGAAAAATGGATGCGGAATAATGCTGTAGATTCAAAAGAATCCAAGACAACCTCTTGGTTCAGGAGATTCATTGGGCGTGCGCAGAAACCAAAAGTGACTTGGCCATTTCCTTTTGTGGAGGGTAGATTGTTTGTCTTGACTGTGCGAGCTGGTGTTGATGGATACCATATAAATGTTGGGGGTCGCCATGTTACTTCATTCCCATATCGGACGGTATGTTCCTTGAGATTTGGAAAGTGTTGTTATTTGAGATTTGGGAAGTGTTATGGACAGGTTAACCCGAGTTTTGGATGGGTATGGCCAGTCCTTTTGTTGCTTGAGTTGGGTTTGCATTGAAAATTATTAAACTGACACCATTTCAGTTTGGGCTAGGGCCGGGGTGTTGAACAAGTCAAGCTCAACTCGAACCTGGCCTTATATTACTAGTATTATTATTGAAATAGCAATCAGATTCTAACCCGAGTCTAACACGTCCAACCTAGCCAACCCAATCCTAACCCGAGCTTAGAAAAATATGCTTGCATTGGGTTGGGGCTTGAATTGAGGGTTTTATACCCCGGCTTAATGCCTCAACTGGCCCACCTACCTGAGTTGCAACCCTACCAGAATATCAGAATGACAACTCTATTAACTCTGTCAAATTTTAGAGTCTATCTATGGCCTTCCCTGATCATTCAATGTGTAATTTTTAGTTATGTACCAAGTGGAAAAATCAAATGATTTGAACCATCTAATCTATGAACTTCTTTAGAGTGGTTTGAGATGAATGATGTGAACTGTAAAAGAAATGTAAATCACATTGCCAATATTTGCTGCTTAATGATTTTCTTGTTATTGTTCCCCTTATGAAGAAAGGTCTTTCATGCGTGTTAGGTTTTTGAGAATGGCATTGTCAAAATTGCTTATGGTTGAGAGTTCCTCTTTTAGTTTCTTTTGCATTGTCTTCTCAATTAATGTTGCTTATAGACTTTTAAGTGTATTTACACACCTTTAATGTCTAAATGATATAATCTCTTGTTCAACTGCATGCCATTGTCTTGTTATCAATTGTTTGCTGCAATGAGTATGGAAATGTGTTCTTGACCATAGCTTACCATTTCTTCAGGGTTTCACACTTGAAGATGCAACGGGATTGCAGATTAAAGGTGATGTGGATGTTCATTCAGTTTATGCTACTTCCCTCCCAACTTCTCATCCAAGTTTCTCTCCCCAAAGAGTATTGGAAATGTCTACAAAGTGGAAAGCTCGTCCTTTGTCCAAAAGTCCTATTCGACTTTTTGTTGGGGTTCTCTCTGCTACCAATCACTTTGCGGAACGTATGGCAGTTAGAAAAACTTGGATGCAATCTTCAGCAATCAAGTCCTCAACTGTAGTAGTTCGTTTCTTTGTTGCATTGGTAAGGTTCCCAAATCATTTTTCACATTAAAAATTTAGATAATTTTATATATTTAAAAAGTGAGGAAAGACAAAAATGTTGGTTCCTTGCAACTTGTGTGTATTGGTTCGTTAAAAAAATGTTTCAGTTTTTCAACTTTATGTGATGATATTTTGGTAAGTAAAAGTTTTACGAGGAAGAACCAGAGAGTGCATCCATATACACTGGAAGTATGTAAAAAGGTATCAATATTCAATACAAAGCTTTTTTTTTTTTGATAAATAAAATTTTATAGAAGCGCTCAAAAGGGGAGAGGAACCCAAGAGAAAAACACAAGACCACAAAGGGCCTCTAAGCCTTCAGAGAGGCCAAAAAATCAACAATCTCCTCTAATGATCTATGATCTCTCCCTGAAACCCAACAAAAAGGAGTGGAAAGAATCGAGAATTTAAGCACCGAAATCAACATTTGCTTCCCAGCAAAATATCTCTTATTCCTCTTAAGCCAAATACACCACCACACACAGAGCGGCGTAGCCCTCCATGCATCTTGCATGTGAGCCCCCACAAGGCAACCTCTCCAGGCCTCAATCAATCCTCTAGCGGATCCAGGCATAACCCAAAGAAGCCCAAATAAGCCAATCATCAAATCCCAGCACTCTCTAGCCATAGAGCAATGAATGAGAAGGTGATCCACTGTTTCCTCATCACGGAGACACATATAGCAACGATTGACCACCACCTGGTTTCTCCTTCTCAAGTTATCCTGGGTTAAGATCCTTCCCAGAACAGAGGTCCATGCAAAGAAAGCCACCTTGAGAGGAGCCTTAGAGCGCCAAACAGACTTCCAAGGAAAGCTAGATCTAGGATCAACCGAGAGACACCTGGAGAAAGATCTCACCTCAAAACGCCTCTGAGAGTTGGCAACCCAAGACCAACTATCCGAATCCTCAAAGCTTTAACTCTACAAAAGGACGCAACAACAAAGTTGTTCTCCCTGTGACCCACCAAAAAAAAAGTCAGAGAGAGAGAGGTCAACTATACAAATATTGGGGAGGGTAAGACCAACTAGGCACAATGCAGCCCACCATCAAGCACTTCCCAGAGGTACAATGGGCCACCTGCCATACTACTCTCCTCCTCCTCCTACACTCCACCGCCCCAGCGCATAGGTTTTTAGCTTATCTGGCGTCACAATGAACCCCAAATAAAGCAAACAAGGGGGCTTGCAAATCCTTCACTACTAGACAATGCAACAGTAAATGACCTACTGATTCTTCATACTATTTTACACATTCAACACCAATTGACTATGGGAAGTCTCTCATCCTAAGGATGTACATAATCGAAATCTTTCCCAGGTAGTACCATCCAACCAAAAACTGTTTTTGTGTGCCATACCACCTCCCAAGGAAAAGCTGAACCTAGAGTGACTTATAGAAATATTTCACCTTGTACTCACCCCTATGCAATCCCACAGCTTCCTTGCCTTGTAAAGTAACGTAGTGTACAAAGCGCCAAAGCAAGCATGGAATATCTCCCAATTCACAATCTTGTAGAGGTTTTATGGAATTATACGTCCCACACTGCCCCCGTCTTTGTGAAATGAATGCAGCCTGCCACCAAGGCCTGCTCACCATAATGGCGAGGGGTCGTTGGAGGAACTGTGAAGCGAGCCTTTAGCACATCAATGATCAAATAGAAATCTAACTTGGTTACCACCTTCCACCAGATCTTGTACTTTCAACAATTTCATTCCACCCTTTCCAAATGATATTCTACACTCCCACTCCATATGAAATCTGAACATCTCTATAATACCAATCCCCTATTTTTGTTTCCATACTGCCCCTTCCCTACCCTCCATTATAAACTGCATCTCTCCAATTTATCAAATAATTAAATAAATAAACTGCATCTCTCCATCCCAAATATCCACAATTATTACCTCATAAGAACTTGACTGAACGATCAAAGATTTAGGATACTAGGCACTTCCACTTACGTTAGTGAAGAAACCATCTTCTGTTCAACCAGATTGCATTAGAACTCATTCCATAAACCTCTCCAAAGAGATTCCAATTGCAGCTTTGCTAGTCTTTTAGCAATGGAAACAGGAATGGGGATAAGGACGTGAAGTAAGTATATAGATTAAATGAGGTGTTTCCGGTTAGAAAAGGTGAGCGTGCTCCTCTTCCACAGAAGACTCCTAATTTGCCTACCTCCTCTTAAACCGTTTTATAAATGCATCCCAAACATTGATGGTTTGAATGAACAACAAGTAGGACCCAAGTAGCTAGAAGGCCTTTTCCCCTTCGACATATATTTGTGATTTAGATTATACCTCTTAACATTTAGAGTTAAATTCTATTATACAATTATTAGACTACCACGCATTATGGCATAGAAAGTTAGATGATTAAGAAACATATTCATATACAAGTGTGGTCGAAAGATGGATGTTGTGATGGATGTGTGATAAGACAATAAAGGTAGAAATGATTAAATTTGTGAGACAATTGAAGTACCACTTTTCTCGGAGATAAAATGAGAATGAATTGACTAAGATGGTTTTGCCATGTGAAGCAAAGACCAATAGCTACATTAGTATAGAAGTCTAATGTGGCTCTTTTTTTACTCAGATTGGCTTGGTCTGGAATTTTTCAACCTCGGTTTATTACGAGTCAAACCCAAACCCATTCTATATGGCTATTGGTAATAGTATAATTATTGAAATACTAGCAATCGAGCCTAACCCAAGATTGGCTTGACAAACTTGAACCTAACTTTATTAACCCGAGTCTAACCTGGTCTTAGAAAATATATTTGGGGGTTGACTTGCTGGGCTGGGCTTGGACTTAGATTAAGGAGTTTATACCTCAGGTTGACTTGGGTTGACCCCCGCAATCTGCTTAAGCTTTCCAAGTTGCACCTTCTAGTAGTGAGGGTGATGATGGAGGCAAGGGAATACAAAATTAACATGGGTTGGATATAAATAGAGAGTGGTTTATCTGGAATCAGTGCTTTAGTTGGGGGTAAATGGAATCAGGGCTTTAGTTAGGGCTAAATGGATTCATACAACTTACCCGAAATATTGGAATAAATTTTGTTTAGTGAATTGTGTAAACAAAGAATTTCATTTTAGTTAGACCACAAAAAAAGGTTGCATATTGTTTAAAATGTCAGGTTTCTTAGAGCTTGCCCTCTTGGTTTTCACTGCAAGTGTTCGTATATGAATTTCTGGGTGTTGCCCATAGAGTCTGTGCCGAGTGGCTGCAGCAGAGTTTCCTTCTTCTTGTTTAATCAAATTATTGTGAAAATTCCGCTGTACAACTAGATAATGTATGCTACCTAATTTAAAATATTACCAAAAATTATTGTTTGATATTTGCACCTTTGACTGAAGAAGCTTGCAAAGAATGAGTCGAAAAAGTACTGTTTTCTGAAGCATCATAATGATGTTATACGATGTTTTCTATTCTATTTTTTTTTTTTCCCAATGTATTTAATGCTAATTGATAGAAACCAGTGTGTTCTTAATATTTCTCATTGTTTTATAAAACTCAAATTTGTGGAACCAGCTATATCCATTTAAAAAAATTCTTTTAGCAGATTTTCTTGCCTCTCTCCCTCTCACACTACGCGTGAAACTATGTATGTATATATGTATTTATGTATGTATGTATATGGAATGCCTAATTACTCCTATTTGCTCTTATGCATCTCCATCAAATCATAATCCTGTCTCAATCAATTTCGATCGATCATGGTAGGCATTCTCATCCACATAAACAGGGGCCTTCAGCACAAACCATGGCATGCATGCAAGCACACTCATGCCATATGCATGCCTTTGCGCCCTATATGGATGTTCACATATATATACATATATATTGCTTTTCCTTTTATTGGGTGAATTTTACTTCTTTCTCATGCCATTTCCTGTACTTTTTCCCAAACTAGTAATCAAAGCACAATAACAAACCAAATCTTTCTATTATAAATAATGATAAGAGTTGTAACTTGTAAGTCTGCAATCTGATTTACAATATTTTTCTTTACTCCTTTTCTCCATTCGAGATTGCTCTTTATGATCTCAATTCTTACGTGGAATATTTATATGCTTCTATATTTTTAATTGTTATGTATAAACATGGAATGCAAAGTTCATGTGGTGCACATGTGAAATGCATGTAATAACCTAAAAGAAAAGAATGATTTAAATTGCTTATATTTTATGATTATACAATCAAAATTCGTCTCACCTTTTTGTTTATGTTTGTAACATGCCTCTATGACTCATATTTTTAGTCATTTTATTATTATTGTCTTGTAATTATTTCATTTGGGGTCACTCATCAAAAAGATCATATGTAGAATCCAAGGAAGGAGGTGAATGCAGTGCTGAAGAAGGAAGCTGCTTACTTTGGTGATATTGTGATTTTGCCATTTATGGATCGCTATGAGTTAGTGGTTCTTAAAACTATTGCCATTTGTGAATATGGGGTAAGTTCATTTTCATTATTCAGTCTTATTTAATTCTGCCTGAGAATGATCTTTATTTTCCGAACAATCAATTTAGTTGGCTTAGTTGTATTTGATTCCTTACATAGCAAACCTTCACCATGCAGGTTCAAAATGTGACAGCTGCCTACATTATGAAATGCGATGACGACACTTTTATTAGGGTGGACACTGTCTTGAAAGAAATTCAAGGCGTCTCTTCTAAAAGGTCTCTGTATATGGGCAATCTCAACCTCTTGCATCGACCTCTTAGAAGTGGGAAATGGGCAGTAACTTATGAGGTATGGAAGTTGCATTCATAATTTAGATATACGAGGACACGGAATTCTGTTCTTATCCTTTGAGTTACTGAAACTATTTCGAATGCTATATCAATTCAATGCTTACTTAAATAGAGAACACTAATCTCTGTGGTAGATGCATGTTATTTTTCTTTCCCTCTATATCTAAAGGATGAATATTTAATGTAACAGGAGTGGCCAGAAGCAGTATATCCTCCTTATGCCAATGGGCCTGGATATATAATTTCGAGTGATATAGCTAAATTTATTATCTCTCAACATGTCAATCGAAGATTAAGGGTTTGTAACACGAGAAACATTGTCCATTTATATCACCCAGTGAGAAGGGATAAGCTGTACAGCTGCCTTCTGTCCAAACCGATTAGGTCTTACTGAAACACATTGTTCCATTGTTGTTCACAGCTTTTCAAGATGGAGGATGTGAGCATGGGGATGTGGGTTGAGCAGTTCAACAGCTCTACGCCCGTCCAGTACTCCCACAACTGGAAGTTTTGTCAGTATGGGTGCATGGAAGACTATTACACCGCACATTACCAGTCCCCGAGACAAATGATCTGCCTGTGGGACAATTTGGTAAGAGGTCGGGCACATTGCTGCAACTTTAGATGACAAAAGAGCTACTCATTGCCCAATTATATTGGAACTCGATTTGTACCATTTTACTCTTAGAATTTTCACCCCATTATTGAGTTTTGTCCATATAAGAGGGGTTTGATTAAGTTGTGGGCATCATTTTGTGAGATTCAATTGTTTTTGTGGTTCTTTCTGGTCATGGCCAGTATTATGTGCTCTTCCTCTGGCTTGGCGTGAAATTGATACAGAAACAAGTAAAAACGTATATTGTGAGATGTGCAATTAGTACAAGACAGAAAAGACACCTTGTCTGAGAAGGGATGCTATTCCAGTTTTTCTGATAAGGTGTAACGGTGTGAGTGATTGCCACCGAAAAACTTAAACTAGGTGATGACAATACCCCTATTAAATTTAATTGAGAAATTAGCATGAGTAGGGAAATGCAGGCTATTGATTGGTAGATGGGATATAAATTAAATATATAATTATTTATTTGGATACATTTTGATCCCACCTTAGAATCATTCCAACAAAAGTAGATATCAATCATCATTTTTTAAGGATTCAACATTCATTATGTATGAGATATGTTTTTTTATTTGCAGACCGTCTATATATATATATATATAACAATACCCCTATTACTATTATTGTTGTTTAATATGGCCCTCTCATACAATTCTACGATCGCTCGGATCAGTGGATCACTGTCCCCCAAAAGCAAGGAGTCTAATGGCGTACAAGTGGGTTGTCAAAGAGAACCACATGGGCCAACTAAGTGAGGTGGCCCACATGATTGGGCCCAAATAATATCACACTGATTGACAACAATGCCGTTTTGTACTTATATGCGGACTTGGTAAAAATAATTGATGCATCGGGAAGAACCACGTAAGTGAAACTCTCAATTTATGTTGATGGGACAAGAAATTGAGAATTTTTATTTAAAATAACACATCCACTTACAAGAGTATGCATATGCCCGTAAATTAATACTTTCAGTAATTTTTAAAGTACCAAACTTTGACATTTTGCCGAGAACTTACATCTCTCCTGCACTATTAAGTACCATCCTTGTCACTATGGTTACCATACCCAAGCATGGGCCTTACTCGACCAATGCTCCATTTTTTTTTTCTCCATAACCAAGTGGCCCACGATGGTGAGATTAGCCTGGTGCTTCCGCAGAAAAATTTACAATACACGGAGGGTATTAATGCAATGTGTCATCAATGCTCCATTTTTTATTTTCTCCATAACAAGTGGCCTACGATGGTGACTTCTGCACAAAAATTTACAATACACTGAGAGTATTAATGTAAAGTGTCATTACTCACAAACATATGTCACATTCTAACTCACATAAAGTGAGAACATGAAAGTGATAAAATTTAAATGATACGCAAAAAGCATAAGAGCGCGTTGGCATAGCTTAAGAGGAAAAGGGTATTCAAAATAAGAAAGAGATTGTAAGACTTAAGTCACACCATGAAACAATCGGCCAATAGATTATTCAGGCATGGAGATCTGAACAAGTCTCGGATGTGTGAAGTGGTTCGACTCATGACCCAAAGGTAGTGGCGGAGCCAATTAAGGCCTAGGGGGACACGTGCCCCCTGACCTGGCCTGCCTTACAGAATATATATAGTTAGTTTATATATATATTTTTTAATTTTATCAATTTTAATTTCAAAACTTTACCCTTCCCCTTAGATCAAAACTTTTCCTTTGAGATTTTGTTTGGTGATGGATTTCATATACATTTGATATAGCAATCTACTGATTTAGCCAATATTTTATGAAAAATGATTCGTGTATTGATGGACTTCATATACTTTGATATAGCAACCTGCGATTCATGTTTTATATTAAACCTTTGAGTGCCTTAACTCTTCCTTCTTGGGTTTCCTTTGTATTGACAATTGGTTTGGGAAACTAAATTTTGGTCACGTGGACAAACAGTATCAGAAGCTTTTGGGTTAAATCTGGCATTTTTCTTCTCTTATGCCTCTTCCTATTCTAAGAATTGAAATGTGAATGGTAATTTGTTGTGGTCACTGTCAGGAATTGTATTGTGCTCACCAAACCCCATTTTTTTAAAACAGTATGCACGTATTGACAGATTTGACACCCAAACAAACACACAGGTATAGACTTCTCTAGATTCTTCGGCGATTGAACCTATCTACGTAAGCGATTCTATCTTCCATTTCCAGAAAGCTAAAACAATCCATTAACTGGGGTGGGGCAGTAGAGGAGGACGAAAGAGCCCAGAAAGTCAGACATAGAACAGACATTGGATTCAATTCCTCGAGAGTTGGAAATTAGGGGACTATATTTGGAATTTCGTATATGGTTACGAGTCAGTGCGCCGATCATCTAAGAGTAGGTTTTGATTTGAAGTCCAATTATAAACACAATAAACGTGATACCGTGTTCCAGTAAGCAACCAATGACATGTAAGGATTATGCAAATGACCAATGACCAATGACCAATGACCCAGCGGCGGAGTCAGAATTTTATAATTGAGGGTCCAACTTATAATTAATATAAGATTATTTTAAATCATATATATATTCAAGGACAGATTCAAAATTGTATAATAGGTTGGGCTAATTTATTATGGGTTGAGATAGTAGGAGTAAAACTACTACTTCTCCTTCTTCCTTTTTATTTTTTTTTATTTTACTTGTCTTGGACCTTTCATATATATAAAAACAAAAAAAAGGAAAGAAGAATATGTATTATCTGCTCTGGCTACTGTGGAGTAACAGCACTAAACGCACATGTCACACATTTTACTTGTCTTGGTCCTTTCATATATATAAAAAACAAAAAAAAAAGGAAAGAAGAATATGTCCAAGTAAATTTAGAAATGGAGTGAAGGGGGGAAACATGAAGTGATTGAGACGCCTGGTATGGGCAAAAAGTCTAAAGCTGAAGCATTTAGACCTCTGGTCTCGATTTAGGTCACATGTTTCAGAATTTTAACCACACCTTTTATTTATTTATTGTCCTATCAAGACTCTGTAAAATGCAACAGAGTCTGGAGGTCCTATCAAGTCTCTGTAGTCATTGCTTAGACCGGCCAGTTCTGTGAGACACCCCAACTTAGAGGAACCCATTATGTGAAGGTGACAAGGGAAGAGCCTTAAGACCCATGTTTTCCTCCTCCAATGGCACTAAAGATTCATTGATGATTTGGGTTATTTTTATTTTTTATTTTTAGATGAATCTCTTAATTTGCAAGTTTACAACAATTAAACTTATACTTTCTTCACATCCAAATATCAAGTTACTTTAATCGATCAATTTTTAGAACTACCATATATATTCAATTGGACTACACTGAGGCTCTTAACTTGGTTTAATTTTGGCAATTTTACGACTTGTTTTACATTATCTTATTTCAACTATTATATCTTTGTAGGTTATAATTAGGATGGTTATTCGGGATTATGATTGCCATTACTTTTTTTGATGCCGCTAAATATTATCTTACCACTGTATATGGCTCATGAAGAAGTTGTATGTAAGACAGAGACTAAAACAGAGCAAAATGGTATGAAGAATTTTTGTTTTATATTGGTTAACATGAAGAAGTTGCATGGAAGAGAGAGACTACAACAGAGCAAGAAGATATGAATAATTTTTGTTTTATTTTGGTTAAATAAAGATATAAGGTATGAATCATGTACTTCATTGGCCCTTTTGTTACTTCTATTTGGCATAGCCTTTTGACTTGCTAAACCACTTTTCCTACTATGAATGTGTTCTTAAAAATTTGTATATGGTTAATTTTTGTATAAAACCATGATTTGGAATTGGTTATATATATATATATATATATGATGTTAATGGTTAGTTGTAAGTTATTTTGGTTATGATGTTATTTTTGATTTTTTTAGGGTTTGCTTTTGTTGGGTCCTTGCAAGGCATATTGTAGTAGTAGTAGTAGGATAAAAAAAAAAAATTAGGGCTGATCACGGATCGGATCGGTTCGGTTTAGGGATAAAGTTCAATCCAATCCGGTCCCCATGGATTGGTGAAATTTGAAACCGAATCGATCCGTGGGGACTTTCAATTCGAACCAAATCAATCCGTGAAATAACGAATCGGATCGATTTGGTTTTTACGGATCGAGCTTTTCAAACAGCCTAATATGATTACACTTTATGACCCATTAAAATCTCAAATTAGTAATTAGAAACGTGTAACTAACTTTTCAACATATATCAGCACAAACTTAAATTAGCTAATAATAAAATAAAGTTATAAATCATCCAAAAGTGAAATTAATATTACAGTATCAAATATAAATTATCCAAATTAGACAAAACAAAACACTTAAATAGTAAAAAGAAGGATTGTACTCAGTGTTTTGTTTTGTTCTATTTGGATAATTTATTTATATATATATATATATATATATTAAATAATGAATTCAAAAAATAGAAATACAATAAGTATATATATAGTTATATATATAATATATTAATATATAATTAAGGTAACGGATCGGTTCGGTTAACGGATATAATCGGTTTTTCTAGGGCAATTCATTAATCGAACCGCTCTATGTTTTTAAACCAACACCGAACCATAAAATCTGAAAACCGCACCGAACCACACAGATTGAATTAGTTGAGATGGATTGACAGATTATTTGTTCACCCTGATAAAAATGTAAAACAAAACCTTGTATTTTGACGCAGTACCACTCTAACAAAGCTATCTATTTATCTTAAATTAAAATTCTTCACTTCTCAATTTACTTAAAAAAAAATAAAAAAAAAATACTGAGAGCTCTGATTAAAAGTAATATCACGTGTCAAAATATTCGGGGATTTTGTAGAATTTGTGGTGGTGACTTGAGCTTGCCAGGCTGCCCAAAGACAATGCTATAAATTCTCCAATTCTGGCTCACTTGGCAACCAGCACTATCAACTCTCTTATCCCATAGCCATAGTTCAGTTCTTTGTAGCCTAAAAACCACACCATAGATACTTGATCCAGATGGGTTCACAACAAAACATTTTCACCAAAACCATGAACCCACTAGACCCTGAAGAATTCAGGAGACAAGGCCACCTAGTCATTGATTTCCTAGCTGACTATTACAAGAACATCGAGAAATATCCGATCCGAAGCCAAGTCGAATCGGGTTATCTCCGGCAACGTTTGCCAGAGTCCGCCCCAAAC